AGTAGCCAATCAAGAAAGTCATGGGAAACCTCACATGGGCAGTAACTTTGAAATCCAACTCCTTGTACCTGCGCAGGAAAAGCCCACCAAAGACTAGCCAGGAAGCTTCTGCCCTATGAGAATAGAATCCCCCCAGCCCACGTGATCCATCTCTGCTCAGAGTTGGCCACTCCCATGTCCTGTGGAGTATACTATCGCTTAATGAATCTTCCCTCTTTCTTTATGCTATAAACTTTGTGTGTTTGGTTCAATTCTTTGTCCTCGACACTAAGAACCTGGTTACCTGTGCCCACCTGTGACACCTTTGACAGCCTCTTTCTCTGCCGTGCAGCCAGATTGCCTCCTCCAGCCGCTTCAGTGTCCTCTTTCTGATGCCCCAGGCGGAGCGTCACTGCCACCTCCAAAGGCACCTGAGCAACCTCTAATAATTTTAAAATTCCTCCTGAGTGCTTTCCCCCCTTTTATTGGAGATGAACAGTTCTTCTTCCTTCCAGAGGGAACCATGTGATTGCAACATCAAGAAAGCTTTTGTTGAGTCCATACAGCTGTTCACTCTCCTTTCACGCAACACTCCCAGTGCCCTCGTCAGTGTAATCAGTTTGGTTTTCTGAGCAGAGGCTCCCGGCAAAAGGCCTGGGCCTCCACTGCTCCATGAAGAGTCACAACAGGGTACCCGCCCTCTCTGTCTCCTTTGTCCGTAGAGATGCTTCCATCTGCACTGAGAGGCCAGTCCGCTTCTCCTGAGGGATGGCCCTGTCAACCAGTTCTGCTGGAATTCACTTCATCAGTTATCTCAGCACAGTCATGAGTCAGTGCAGCCGAGTCAGGCTCCGGGAGAAGAGAGGCAGGGTTTGCCTGACAGTTTTGAGGGAGACAGTGGGGTGTCCAGTAGAAATGCTGGGTCCTGCCCAGTCTCCCAGCAGTGAGCCACCATTCCCTTTCACTCCAGCAGGCTCAGCACTGAGTGGGGGTGTGGACATGGTGACAGGCTGTCCCAAGGAAAACGTTCAGCTTCCTGGAAGAGCTCTCAGGTGGCTGTCACAGGTCTCAAGCAGGCTGTCCTTCCCTGACACTGTGATCTAGTTTCCCTCACAAGTAAGTGATGGGCTCAGAAATGTCACTAAGCACATGGGTGAGGACACCTGGGGCCACTGCCGGCCTGTCCTGAATGGACACCTGAGAGGCTTCAGTAGGTTTGGAAGCCCCCAGGCAGGTGCAGGGGCGAGGTGCCCCTTCAGGGACTCAAGAAGCTTGGGCACCCACCTTTGTCCACTCCAAAGGGATCTACTCTGGTCCTTTCTACGTTTCCCAGTTAAGAGTTTCTGATGAAGAAATCAGAGCACATGCTCCAATTTCATGAAAGATTTTATGTATTTATTTTTTAGAGAGTGGGGAATGGAAGGACAGAGACAGGGAGAGAAGCATCAGGGTGTGGTTGCCTCTCTGGCTCCCCCAGCTGGGACCCTAGCCGGGAGGGCAGGCAGGTGCCCTGACTGGGAATCGAAATGGCAACCCTTTGGTTCTCAAGCCCGTGCTCATTCCACTGACCTACACCAGCCAGGGCCATATGTATATGCATTTTGCTCATCTAATCATCCAGGGATGGGCACTTGTGTTGTTGCAGTCTCTCAGCTGCAGTAGTCAAGGACAAGGCTACTGAAAACATGGTGTATGAATATATCCTCAAGCCCCTGCTTTCAGTGATGTAGGGTTTATATCCAAGAGCAGAATTGCTGGATCATGTGGAGGTAATTCTGTGCTTACCTTTTTAAGGAACTCCCATGCTGTTTGGTTGCACAGGCCTCAGCCTACTGGCACCTACTGGACACGGCCTGGGGCATCACTTGGCCCATCCTACCTGTGGTGAGCCCCCCACACATGTCCCCCCAACTGGAGCCAATGTGGTGACTGAACCGGCCCTTGTGGTTCTTTCCAGGACAGCAAGATGCACCTCAGCAGCAGTCCTCACGGAGCTTGGGAAACACCAGTTTATTATTGACAGGTCCTGCTGGTTAAACACGAAGGTTACAGGAAGAGAGACATGGGTCAGGGTCCTGGAGTTCTGCCTTCATTGTGGCCCAAGGAGGGGTGCATTGGTGGGAATTAGGGTGCAAGAATGTGACCCCACCTGGGGTCACTCCTGTGCTCAGTTATCTAGGTTACCCAAGGCTTTCTAAAGGGGAACTGATGGGTGGGGGAATCCTGGATGCTAATCTAGGGCCTCTTGGGAGAAATAGGGGAAGCAGTCAGGCTGAGGCCTGTTCGCAGCACAGACGAGTTCCCACCCGGGGGTTCTGTGCAGGGTTTTTGGAGGAAAAACAGTGCACACTGTGGGGAAGTATCTTGAAAACTGGTGACTTCCGACTGCTCTGCTTTTCTCTCATTGGGTGGTTCTGTCCACGGCTCTCCAGCCTCTGGGACTTGTTCCCGCGGCTTTCCAGCTCTACTTCCTGGAACTACCCTGTCCCTGACCAATCACTTGGGAGCTGTCCCACCCTGGTCTGTTTGTTCCGATGTCATGTCTTGCTGGCTGGGGTGCCCTATGCAAGTTCAGACCAGACTGTCATTACCAAGAAATGTTTCATCCTGCTGGCAGTAGCCTTCTGTCAATTGCACAAAATCATGTTTGTTTGTTTCTTTGTTTTTCCCATTTAAACATAATCACACAATGCTATTCTGAAAGGTATGCTCATTAAAAAGAAAACAAACATGAAAATTGATGACCTTATTTACCAGATTTGTCATTTTAAGAGGAAGAACAGGGTGGAGAAGGAAGGGGTTTCTTACAAGCTTTTTCACAAGGGTCACATTTTCTCATTAAAAGGGAGACTGCAAAGCACAGGTGAAATAACTCAAACAAAATATTCACGAAATGGAACTGGACAGAACCACCAAAAACGAGGCCAACAGCGCTGAGACCACACTGAGGGGCCAGGCTCCCTAGAGCAGCTCCCCACACCCACTCCCAGGGTCCCACTTGGACTCCCACAGGCTCTGTGTTCAGACAGAATTCAAACTCCCGCTGAACTCGACTGTGCACAAACCCACGGGCATCTCCCCTGTCCCTCCCGCATGGCTCCTGAGCTCCCACAGCCAGGGTTCTCACCTGTGGAAAAGGGCCAAGGTTGTGAGGGGTGGGACCCACACCAGCCTCACAACCTCCCCCTCACACACTACAGTGTATACAATGCATAATAATTTCGTGTTGCACATGCACTGTGAGTGCTGACCTGCTGCAAAGTGTGACTTCGGAAAGAACAACGCACGCAGTGGGAGACAACACTGACCTCCCCCAGGTGACTTCTCATGGTTCTTATGCCACATTCCAAGCCCCTCTAGTCCTCCCTCCAAGGGGAAATACTAGGTCCTCCAGGGGGTCTCGGACCCACCTCTGAGGGTCACTCAGTTCTGGCTTCAGTCAGGCCCAGTTCAACTTTTCCTCCCTGACAGCACCCAGGACCCTGCAAGCACCAAAGACCCAGCTGCTGGCTGAAGTGAAGACACTTGTTCCATTTCAAGACCTGAGCCTAAGAGATGGTCATCAGTGGTCAGGCTGGGTCCCGACCAAAGGGACAGACAGACGGGAAGAAACAGTGGGCCCACGGGAGGAGAGGGGGAAAGGGAGGAGAACAGAGAGAGGTGGGCATGCAGAGGACCTGTGCAGGGCAGGCTGGAGAAGGTGGGGCTGCTTGAGGGGACCCAGGTCAGAGGGGCTCTGAGAACCAGGGGAAGAGTCTGTGGCACAATGGAGACAGGAAGGAGCCCATCCCCCTCTCCTGCCCCCCTCACTGGAGGCCCTCAGGACCCGTTCCCAAGGGCTGCATGCAAATCTCAACACTACAACAGCCTCTTGAGGACTGAGCTCTCCCAAACCAAAGCAGGAAGTCTGACCCCCAGCCCAGGGCTCCATGGCACTACATTTTTCATAGCAGCCCCTGCATCCCCTCCCCCCTCCCATTGACATGCCCACCAACAGTGCAAAGGGCTCTTCCTCCACGTCCTCCTCAGCACTTGTCACTTTCCTGGTTTTTGGGTAGTGGCCATCCTCAAAGGTGAGGAGTGGCAGACATTTTGAACAACTCTTTTTATCTACACTGCAGCGAACCGACAGCCTCGGGTCAGGGTCTGGGATTTCGAATAAAAGTTCTGAGGAGGGACTCTGCCTAGGGCTGCCCCTTTCCTCCTTAAGATTGGAGCTGCGTGCTAGTAATAAGTCACCAGGCTGAGGTTGACCACACCTGGAAGATGTCACCCAGTGTCTCAGTTAGGCTGGAACGCCCCGCCCTGCAGATCTGGGACAGGGGGCCCTGGGGGCTCTCCTTGTCAGTCGGACTCCCTGTGAGTCACCTCCAAAGCAGCAGTGATGCCTGGTGCTTGTGTGCTAGAACTCTAGCTGTCCCTGTTCTCCCGGGACACCCGGGGCCCTGGGAGATTTGGGGTTTTTTTTTCCACGGTACTTTGTTGAGGTAGAGTTTACACAGATAAAATGCCCAGATCCTAGCGTGCTGGATGAGGTCAAAGAGCTGTGGGACCAGCATCCAGGTCAAGTTCCAGAGCACTTCCAGGGCCCAGAACCTGTCTTCGAGCCCTCCCAGGGTCCTTGTTCCACTCTGAGGTCCTCTGACGTTTCCTGTGTCCCAGCTCCTTTCTATTGCTGGCGCCGCTGCATCGCGTGACACCAAAATGTGTTCCTTCCTCCTCCATTAATGCGCATTTGTGTTCTTTCCACTTTGGGTTCATGGTGAGTAACACTGCTGTGGACGTGAGTGTATATTCTCACCCCTCCTGAGTTGTTTTCCAAAGTTGTATTGTTTCACAGTGCAACCTACACAGAATGAGAATTCCACATGTTCCATATCCCGCTAAACAATGACATTGTCCCCAGAGCCCCTGGTGCTGCAGAGGAGTGCAAAGAATTTGTCTTCCTTTCCCTCCTTTCTGCTCCAGGGATGCTGTCTGCCCCTCAAGTTGGTTGATTCTAGTTGATCCAGGAATATAAGGAAAGTGGAGGTTGAGCCGAGGGGACACCAGAGCCTCTCCAAGAAGCCAGTCTTTGCAAACTCTGGTGCATACAGACAAGGTTCAGAAAGAAGAGAGGTGCAGACATATGCATGACCCTGGGGCACCTTCTACCCACTTGGCACCTAGGTGACCCTTATCTGCTCATTCAGGCTTGACTGGTAGCACATTGGTTTCCTGTCTAGCACATTGCAGGGACCTGCTGGAGTTCAGGTAAGTTTATTGTCACCGTTCCTCGCCCCTCCTCCTTAATGCTGCTAGTTTCTGTTCAACCGTTTTCTTACCTCAGTGCTGAAGCCATTTCAGGCGGTTTATTTAATTTGTCACCCTGACCTCCATGTCTTGGAATGTTCTGCTGTGTCCAAGACTTCTCGTCTTTGTATTCTAAAGCCCAGAAAGAGATGGGACTCAAGAGTCTTTCTTTCTCCACTATCATGGTCCATGCCGTTGGTTGTTCTTCACCATGTCTTCTCACGAGACTTTCCAGATCAAGAGGTCCCCGGTGAAGAAACAACAGCTGAATTGGCCCATTCCCCAGTGGGCTCGGATGAAAACTCGTATAAAACCAGGTGCAGGTCCCAGAGGAGACACTGGGGAGGAACCAAACTGGGTGCGTGAGGACTGGCACATCAGACACGGCTCCGTATTTATGTTCCGTCCAGCTTGTCTGCCTCTCGAAATCACTAAAAGGTCACTACTATCCAGATAGCTGAGCTTTTCAATTGGGAAACTACTGAAAAAGTGATTTTTCTCTGTTAATTTTTTTTGACGATACTCTGTTGGTACAATAACATATATGAGGCCATTAAAAACCAGGGAGAGAGGAGAGGAGAGGGAGGAGAGAAGAGAGGTGAGCTCCCCACGTGGGAACTAGGAGCCCCCAAGGCAGCACTACAACCGGGGAAGTCATGGCCTCCATGTGAGGGTTTCCATTTACAAGCAGAAACACTATCATGTACACGTCTTTGTACATGATGATGCTTTTATGTGAGGACTAGGATGTTAAAACAAAGAAATACCCTTTGAGAACCTCAGCATCTTCCTGGAGCACAGGCTGTCACCAGTGTGCCCTATGACCCACGGCATGTGATCTCTGTGGCTCTCTGAGCCCCAGTTTCTGTGCATGTAAAACGGGTACAACCAGGCCTTCCACCCGCACCCACCCGTCTACCAGGGTGACTCTGTCCAGCAGCACAGCTGTTTTCCGGACACTCTGACTGAGTGCTCAGGAGACATAGCCACTCACTGATGGGCAGCAGCATCTGGAAACTCGCTGTCATTCAGGGTGGCCAGGCTCTCTGAATGAGTGAACCCCACCTGAGCTCAGTCTCCAGGTGGAGCACAGGAGGAGAGGAAGGAAAGGGCACTAGGGCGAAAGCCTTTACTCTCCTGTCCCTGAGCTCCAAGCTTGTCCCTCCTCTTCCAGAACCCTTCCCTCCTCTTTGTCTAGACCCATTTCCTCTGGCTCCTGGCTCCTCCCCACTGAGTTATTGCCAGATTGGTTTGGTTTATATTTCTTTGTTGACTTCTTCCCAGTGCAGAGCAGTGCCTGGCTGGTGTGAGGAGCAGCCATGACTGCAGAGGTGGTGGAAGATGAACGTCAGCAGCGTCCAGCCTCCCTTTGTGAACCCAGTGAGTATCTGTGCACCAGGCATGGGCGGTGCTGCCAGGCTGAGCTACTGCCTCTCCAGGGTTGTACCTACTGGTTTCTGAGGACACCGCACTTACCTGGCAGGGCAGGAGACAGCTTCCCAAAGAAAGCACAGAAGGACAGAAGTGTGGGGTGGGTGGGTAATCTGGATCTGAGCATTGGACAAATGCTGACTGAGCTCTCAGTGGGTGCCCGCCCTATCTTTCTGCTGAGGGGAAGGAGGGCAGAAGTGATCACCAGGAGACTGATGGTTTGTGGGAATGAAAGGGGAAGTACACAGGGCATCTGGGAGGATGAGAGCCCAGCACAGCCCCCTTCCTCTGGAGGGGGCCTCCCTGGGTTCAGCCATCTACTGGCTGGGAAATAGGTGACCGCAGCCAAGCTACTTTTCCCTCTCTGGGCCTCAGTTTCCACATCTGTGAAATAGGGAGAATCCTTGAGTGATGTCCAGAATGAGAGTGAGGGGTCAGTGAGGTGCACTCTAGGGTGCTAGAACAGAGCCCCTCACACTGTGGGTGATCTCACGGGTTTAGTCTGAGGAGGGGTGTGGGGTCAGCAGGGAAGACCCCTGAGGGGTCTGCTCCCTGCGGGGTGAGTGCACAAGCAGGGGCAGCTCAGGGGGTGCTGCAGAGGGGCCCTCTGGGGAGCGAGGCGGGGTGGGGCCGTCCCTGCAGTGTGAGATGCACAGGGCTGGTTCGCACCTTTGTGCCAGGTGTGTGTGCCCTGTGTGCAGGTGGCTTCGTTTAGACCCTCTGAGCTTTATGATCCCCAAGGCAGTCATGGGAAAACTGAGGCTCAGGGACATGGAGGCCACTTGCCAACTGTGCCCAAGTGGTAAGTGGCAGAGAAGGGATGTGCCTGCACTTACCTCCAGGGAGGGAGGTGCCCACAGGGACAGCAGTAATGGGGGGAGGCAGGCAAGAGGCAGCCCCAGGCCCAGGAGGCCTGTGAGGTAACCCTGTCCCAATCCCCGTCCCATAGTGTCCATAGAAGCCTCTCCCAGCCTTGTTCCTGAGCTGGGAGGGAGCTGGACTGACAGAGCCCTTCTGGGTAGGGACATGGGGCAGTCTTGGGCAGCAGCAGAGTGCTGGGGGCTGAGGGTGGAGGTGGGGTTGCTGCCTGGGCTTCACACTGCAGCCACCTCAGCAGGGCCCCTGGCATGGCCTGCTTCCCCCTGCAGTGACCGGCCCCTGGACTCTCCTGGAGGAAGGGCTGGTAGTTGGGCTGGAGATAGTGAACCTGGACTGCTTGGTACTTCAGGGGACTTCAGGGTCAGAATGTGTGACCTCAGGCTCCTTTCCTGTTTGATGGGGGATCCCAGGGCTCCTCCCGGTTGCTGGTTTTTATTTTTCAGTCCCTGGACTCACAGCTTTTCAAATCCGAAGGGAAATCCTGCATGAGCAGTTAAAACAGGGCCTCGCACTGCAGACAAAAATGAGGATGACTGTCACCCCCACAGGGGCCAGGAGCACTCATCCACCCCACATGGTCTCCCCTTCTGGTGTCCCCCTCACTCCAGCAGTCAGGAGTGACCGTCCTCTTCCTCCAAAGTGTGCTGGGAAGTCATGGGGCCTGGCTGTTCTGCTGAAGAGCTGACCACCATGAGGGCCACTGGGGGCCTCAACCCCCATTCCTGCCCCCCACCAGCCCCATGTGGCCCAGCCTCCTCAGGGGCTAGGATGGAAGCTGGAAGCACAAGCAGCACAGGTCTGTCTGTCTGGTCCAGGGAAGCACCCAGCCAGCCTGGAGGGAGGGTGTTCTGTGCTTCCTCGTGAAGAAGCCATGTGGTGGGGAAAAGCATGGGCCCTGGCAGGTGTGGCTCAATTGGTTGGAGTGTCTTCCTGTGAGGAAAGGATGCAGGTTCGATTCCCAGTCAAGGCACATACGGGAGGCAAGCGATGAATGCTTCTTTCTCCAGTTGATGTCTGTCTCCCTTCCTCTCTCTCTAAGAAGCAATGGAAAAGTGTCCTCGGTTGAGGGGGACAAATGAAAGAAAGAAAAACATTAAACTGACTAGGAGCTGGGAGCTCTCCCCTAGGGCAATGCAGATCACAGAGCACCTTGGATTTTAAAGGCACTCTGGAGGTCAGCGTTAGCAGTCTAGCAGCAAGCAGTGTGGGGATTTTGCCCAGGGAGACCAGGAGGGAGGGTAGGGGAGAGGGTGCTGGGATGTGCCCTTCTCCTCCCCAGACTTTTCTCACTGAGTCATCTGTCCGACACAGCAGGTAGGATGTGTCCCTATTTTACAGATGAGCACACTGAGGCAGAGAGGGTAAATAAGCTCCCCAAGGGCCCCTGAGGTAACAAACAGCAGACAGAGGACCCAAGCCTGGACTATGTCTGGCTGTACAATGACGAGCACCTCACCATAGCCTTTGCTGCTTCCCAGTGGCCTGGGAGAGGGAATGGGACAAAGTCTGTGCTGACGGGGCCTGGGAGGCCTGGAGACACCCCATCAGGGCTTCAGAGGGTGCTCAGGGCCTGGGGGAGGAATGGGGAGCCCAGGAACAGGAGAGAAGGAGGAGGCTGCCCCCTGGCTGCAGACAGCACCCAGGCAGAGGTGCTACCCCAGGTCACTGGGAGGGCAAAGGTCATGGCCCCCACTGCTGGATGCGGGGGTGGGCAGGAGGTGAGAGGATGCCTTCCTCTAGACCTTCTCAGGTGAGCCTGAGGGTTATGCTTTAGGATAGGCTGGCAGCCTCTTTGGTCCTTGGGTCTCTGAGTCTTCAACCAGAGCTCTGGGGCCTTTGCTGGGAGCTTGGTCTGGGGTCCAGCACCAGCCCCTCCCTCTGCCCTGGTTCCTTCCCCTCTCAAGGTCAAGTACATACTGCTTCCTCCTATGGGAGGTCAGCTCCTGGTCACTTGGACTAAGAGCCTAGAGGTCTCTTTATCAGCCTCAGTGTGTGAGCAACTACCTGGTTGGGGCCATTTCCTCACTTCCCAGCTGCTACCGGGCCCCAGTTCTGGGCCTGACACACCAGGCAACCACTAGCAAGTTCCAGGGGCGTGGCCAGAAGCAGGCCAGGCCAGCCCACTGACACCCTGCCTCTTCTCCCTGCAGAGCGTCCCCTTCACTGGGTCCATCCAAGGGGGCCTCCAGGAGGGACTTCAGATCACTGTCAATGGAGTTGCACACAAGTTCTTTGCAACCAGGTACCTGGAACTGCTTCGCTGCGCCCCTCTGCCAGCCATGCTGCCTGTCAGCTCTGGTCGGCTCCCCACCACCCTCAAAGCTGCCTGTGCCTGGCTCAGGGGAGGCTGGGTGAGCAGGGCCCAGGCCCACACTGGGTGGTACCCCTGCCGCCTGCCAGTAGCATCAGGACGCCCTTATCATAGACGCCCCATAGACTCAGGGAAGCAGGAGCACACGGTCCCAGGCAGCCCAGATGCTCATGATTATGGTCTAGGATTGAACTGTGCACACGAAGACCCAGAGGTGCAAAGGTAACACTTCCTTCATTACCCACAACTGCCCTCATTTACTTTGAAGCCATTTGGCTTAAATGGAAATGTTTAAATGTGCTGTTAAATTTACTTCAGTCACTTTCTGTTTCAAGTTCTTTCACGGATATTACTAAGTCCCCTCAAAATACGAACATCCCCTGGGCTCCGGTCCCCAGCCAAGAGGGCCCCTTGGGGAACAGGGCAGAGCCTGTGGCTGCTGGGCGCTCCGACCTCCTGCAGCCCCGGGGGCCTCTCCTAAAGTCCAGGTGGGGGCAGGTGTGGGATCTTCCTGATCTGGGTGGGGTCTGCGTACACTGCACACAGGGGCCCTTCTGGGCACGTAACCCTCTCTGGGAAGCCCCTCTGCCTCAATCCAGACGGCTGTTCCATCAACATCACCAGTCCATTTGTCCTCTTCCTTCCCGCATGCACACAGCTGGGCTGCCCTCCACCAAGTGCCCACTTTCCACCCAGGCCTCCCGCGTCTAGGCACACTCCCGGTCGGCGCCTTCCATACAAATTTGTCATCAGTTGTATGCTTCCTCTTCCTGGTGTCAGCATCTTTCTTTACCCATGTTCTACTTATTTTTAGAAAGTCACACTGGAAAGGACATAATGCAATAAGGACACAAAAGCACACTCAGTGCAAACCAGGTGAACAAACAGGAAGGCAACAGAGGCATCCTGGGAGCAAAGCTGCCACACGGGCTATACACAGGTCCCACATGCAGGCACGTCAGGGGCAAGAGGCCTTCCAGCTCCTTCCATGGGCAGTAAACCAGAACACTCTCTCATGTCCTTGGGCCCAGGTTTGTCGTGAACTTTCAGACCGGCTTCAGTGACCAGGACATTGCCTTCCACTTCAACCCTCGCTTTGAAGAGGGCGGGTATGTGGTCTGCAACACAAAGCAGAAAGGAAGCTGGGGGACAGAAGAGAGGAAGATGCAAATGCCCTTCCAGAGGGGGAATCCCTTCCAGCTGTGCTTCCTGGTGCAGAGCAGGGAGTTCCAGGTGAGCAGGACTCTCCTCCCGCCCTCCCTCTGCCTGAGCCCCTGCCCTCTCAGGCCAGGTGAGCAGTCACCCACGCAGCGCCTCCACCGACAACAGGACCCAGGACCGTACACATGCTCACCTGCACCTGCAGGGGCACCTGGCCTTGTATTACTGGGGGGTAGGGACTGGATGAGTCACCACCTGTTCTTTGGCCTCAGCTACCAAGTTAATTCCATTCCCTGGCAGTAGCCATGGTGCTCTCCAGGTGCTTGGCATAATCTTTATTTTTTGTGGGGTGACGTTGTTGCAGCCCTTATCCAGGACCTAGGGATGGCTTAGCCTGGCACGGCGCTGGAAGTGCTTTTGCAGGCAGAGCAGTGCTGCTGGGCGGGGACACAGGGCTGTGTCTGTGCTTCGCTGTGGGAATGTGGGTGTTCCCAGCCCCTCACTGTGCAACCTGTGTCCCCTCTCCTCTGCTCCCCAGGAGCATTTTATGCATATTCAAATGTGCGTACTCAAATCACACCTCAGTGAGCTAAGATGGGAAAGACAAAGCTACTTCAATAAACAAACAACAGGTAAGAACAGTGCAGCCAGGAGCTGGAACCCAGGGGCTGACTGGGTCGGGATGCACTTGCGGTCACACGCATGTTCCTGTAACTGGCGAAGCCCGGAGGCTGGTGCTCCGACCCAAAGGGGAGGGAGGTGACACCCTGAGAGGTCTTAGTTTCTAGAAGCAGGGGTCCCCGGGGGCTCAGGTGTGCTCCCCACTCTGGTCTGGCCCCCGCTCCTGAAGTATGCATTCTTGTTGACAGGTGATGGTGAATGGAAACTTCTTCACGCAGTACTCACATCGCGTGCCGTTCCACAAGGTGGACACCATCTCTGTCACTGGCACTGTGGGACTGAAAAACATCAGCTTCCAGGTCAGACTGTCCAACCGGCCCCTCCCCCAGGTCTGGGTGCAGCCCCTGGTCTAGGGCCCTGTTGGGTGGGCCCAAGGGTAGCTGGCGAGCAGTTCCCTACCCAGGTGACTCTGGGCTCATACCTCGGGCTCCCTGTCCTGTCCTTCTTGTGTCACCATCTCTGTCCACATGCCTTCTTCAGCCTCCCTCTTCTTACCACTCTGCTCTGTCACTCTCCATTGCACCCTGGTTAGGAGGTCACGTGGCTCCAGAAAGAAGCCGAGCTCAGGTGCCAGCTCTGCCACTGCCAGCAGCTGTGGGGTCTCAGACAAGTGACTTTGCCTCTCCCACCCTCATCTGCTCAGTTGTGGAAGAGGCACAGTCTCAGCCACCCCCGTGTTACTGTGTGAGCTCAGTGAGGGGACACGTATCAGATGCCACAAAACAGCTCACATGGGCCTGACCAGTGTAGTTCTGTGGGTGGGCATCGTCCCGAAAGGCAAGGTGTTGGGGGTTCAATTCCTGGTCAGGCCACATGCCCGGGTTGTGGGTTGTATACCTGGCGAGGGCACGTGTGACAGGTGGCTGATGGATGTTTCTCTCTCTCTACACATGAATAAATAAAATCTTAAACAAGCAATGGCCCACAGGGGCCCACACCAGGGACTCTTTGATGCACTCTCTGTGGTTGGCAATTCTGCCTGTGCTGCCAACCTCTGAAAGTTCAGGAGGAGCTTTGTGCTTGGGAGCTGAGCGGGCTGACTGCTGCTCACCGACGGGAATGCACTTGGTGCCGCTCCACTTGCACTGAACAGCGGTTGGGGTGGCGACTTCTACATGCCTTTTACCAAAGATGTTGGTGGCCTGAAGGAGAGCCCATGGAAATCTGACCTTCAGGTGTGGTGTGAGGACTGGGACGAGCAGTGGGGCTTCATGGCCCCATTCCCGCAGGGCCCCCAAGGCTGCATGGGGGCGGTTGGCACTTTTTCTGGCATTTGGGTGCACTGCTGAGATGAGAAAAGGTCCCATTAGGCCCTCACCAAGTATGAGATTCTCTCTCTTTGGTCCTGACCCCTCCATCCCCTCCCTATCCCCTGCTGGCCCCTCCTGCCTCCCTGCCTGCCTTGCTCTCACCTCTTGCCCTGGCGCCTGCCTTTCCGCCCTTCGTTGGCTCCATTAACGCTTTCTTCACCCCAAAGCTCCTTTTGTTTTAACAGAACACCCATGTCACCCTTGTCCAGCCTGCCTTCTCCGGGATGCAATTTTCCCAGACAGCCTGTTTCCCACCCAAGCCCAAGGGGTGCAAACCGAAAGTGAGTCTCACGTGAGAACCGGGCTGGCGGGCAGCCGGCAGGAAAGACAGAGGGTCTGAGACAGAGGCTGGTTCCAGGCAGCAGGCCGGCCAGGGCCACAGGCTCCTTCCTGCCCACCCCAGCCCCCCTGTCTCCATGTACCTGGCGCCCAGAGCTGGGACCTGGGACTCGTCCTTGGTTCTTCCTTCCCTTCCTTCATATCTCTCCAGCACGTCATCGCCTCTCCTTCCTGAAGCCGGTGCCTTGGTCCAGACCACTGGTCCCTCGCCCCCTCACGCTCACCCTCTGCCACAGTGACCTTCTCACAAGCAAATCCGATCACATCCTCTCCCTGCTTAAAACTCCCAAAGGCCCCAAGCCCTTCTCAGCGGCGCCCACACTCCCCAGTGGGATGGGGAGGGTCCTCACCCCAGGTGCCCAGCCCACCTCCTGGCCTCCCATCCCACCCACTAAACTAAACTCACTCAGCCCCCACTGCTCCCTCCAGGCTGTCTTGGGCCACCAGGGCTTTGCATCTGCTGTCCTGGTGCCAAAAGTCCCCATGGCCACTTCACCCCCAGCTGGTCACTAACTCCCCTTTAAGGTTGTGCTTAAATGTTGCCTCAGGCCACCTTCCTTGTTGGGCAGATGGCAGGATGCCCCACCACCTCCAGTCCTCTCAGACTTTTTACAAATCTGCTCTATGCCAGTCACCATGTCCTGTTGTAACTGTATTTACATGTCTGTCCCCGTCACTCCACACACCCCCTCCCCACACCCAGGAGCTAGGAACTGTGACTTGGCAGTTTGTGTGTCCCCTGCCCTGTGCACAGGGCGTGGAATGCAGGAGGGACTGGAGAAATGAATGAGGAATGTGGTTTGCACAGCCAGCAGAAGCGGACCCCAGCCAGAGCAGGACGGACAGTTTGCTGGGTGGGCAGAGTGTCCAGGAAAGGAAAAGGGTGGGACCGGGCCCTTACTTTGGTCACTTGAGTAGTGGTGACAATGGGCAAGGCTTCTACCCAGTCTTCCTGAGGCCCATCACAGTGCAGGTAGGGCACCGTGCAGGTAGGAGCTCCAGGAAGCCTTGCTGGGCAGTGGGACTTTGGCCCTGGCCTGGGGAGGACCGGGGATGCTGGACACAGTCAGACACAACTGGGTGTCCATTTGCATTTTATCACTGGCCACCTGGACAGGCTTGGGCAACCGCTGAACCTTTCTGAACCTTGTTGTCACCAAGAGGAGCAGAAGCTAAGGATGCCTCCCTGATAAACCCTGGGTGGGAGCTTGGCACCCAGTAGCCCTCAGTAAATGCTAGTTTGTACCTCTGGGTGGATCGTGACGCTGGGAGGCATCGGTGGCTGAGCCTCTCTGGGAGCTCAGGCCAGCCCTGTGTTCTGCATGTGTATCCGACACCTGTGCTGCCTCTGGGGGATCCAGTGGGGATGCTCCCTCCCTGCAGCCCTGCCCTGACCTCAGGCTCAGGACGGCTTGCTCGGGAGCAGGAGGGAAGCGAGGGTGACTGTGGGGAAGTGTTCTTACCAGTTTCTGCTGTCGTCTCTGCCTCGTGTGGCACCGAAGTTAACTCTCATCTCGATGATCTTGTCCCCATCAGCCCCCAGGGTTCTGGCAGGCCAGCGCAGCTCCCATGGTGAGAGTGTCACTGTCCCTTTGGAACCTCCTGTGGGTTAGAAGGCGGAGGCAGGGCCAGGCATTAGGCCTCCACCACAGGTCAGGGGCAGCTGGGGCCATTCCCCTCGACCATGGGCCCTACTGTGGTGGTGGCGGTGGGCAGGTCTGTGTGGCAGGGGTAGTTGGCTGACCCGATGAACCCAGAGACGAGCTGAGCCACGTAGCGGCCACAGATGAATCCATATTTCTTCTCCAGAAGAATCTTCTGTCCCTACCTCATCCCCTTGAGAGGAGAAAGACCTCTGTGCTCCAGTTCTGAGGGTCTTGTCAGGGCCATTGAGCTGGTTACTGGCTCTGAACCCACTCCCAGGGTGTGTGTGAAATGGTGCCCTCTGGTGGCAGGTGGTGGTCTTCACACCGGTGAGAGCTGGTTAAAGCCCCCTTTTCTTTCTTCCAGACTCAAACACCCACCCATACCATGCAGAGTGTGCCTGGACAAATGCTCTCTGTAAGTTGAAAACTCTGGTCAGCTCACAGCCCCTATCATGTCCCCCTTCACCAAGGACTGAATTCTCTAGTCCCAGGGAAGGGGCAGAGGCAGTTTAGCAAGGAGGGTGGGAACTTCTGGGGCTGGGTTCTCTGCTCAGGAGACTTGCAACTCAGACTCCCCTTGGGCTGGCAGAAACTCTGGATCAGGCTGCCTTTGTCCAGAGGCCCAATAGGCAGGACCCTTGGACCAGCAGGAAAACTGGTCTTTCTGTGACTGAGAGGGGGGTGCAGTGTCCCCAGCATCTGGGGCTGAGGCCCTGCATGCTCACATCCCTGGGATGTGACTGCTGGTCACCCACTGAAGTCGCTGCTTTTCTTCCTCCTGCTGCTCCAAGTCAGACGGGTGCTCTGGAGGTAGCAGAGCTGCCTGTGGAGGGCCCAGGCCAGGTGGCTGTGGTGGGGTCTGGGACTATGGCAGGAAGTTCCACCCAGGCCGCCATGAGAGAGGGTGAAGGGAGGGCCCAGGGGCTGATGCTTCATGTCGGAGCACCCTCTCAGAGTGTGTGTGGGCCTGGGCGTGGGCGCACCCCCACACTGAAGGTCCTGGGCTCTTCTCAAAGAACCCTGTGATCCCCCCTGTGATGTACCCCAGCCCCACCTGTGTGAGTGATTTCTCAGGGAGGGTGGAGAGTTGGTGTGTGCTGGGCAGCGGGGGAGGGGAAGGGTGGCTCCCAGAATGAGGAGCAGTCCTTGGGGAAGCTGGAGTCCAGCACCCGAGTGAATGAGAAGCCGCTGAAAGGAGCTTTCACCTTCAACAGTGTCCCTTCATCAGGAGCACATTACGTGACTGTCCCTCCTCAGCCCCAGTGTCCCCTGTGTCTGGCCAAAGTCCTTCTCATGACAGATGACAGTTTCAGCCCACTAATTAATTTGAGGCACCCTGGAAAGTTTCCCTTTGGCATTTACAACCAAGGAAAGGCATCAGGATTCTTTCTTGAAAAGAAATGACTCTCAGACAGAGTTGTGAAACTCAGTGGACAGTCCGAATTCATGGAAACTGGAGGGAGGTTCTCCCTATAGCAGTCACTGCTCTGGCTGCTGCTGGCTGACCTCTCCATCTCCCCCCACAGCCTTACTTTACCGCCATCCACGGTGCAGTATACCCCGGCAAAAGCATCACCGTGTCAGGCACCGTCCTGCCCTATGCTGAGAGGTAAGCCTGGTCTCCTGGGGAAGAGAGCTACCCCGAGCTCATTCTTGCCTTTCCCCTGGCTCTGGGCAGGCTTGGGAGGGGCAGGGCCCAGAGCTCAGTGGGCAGAGGAGACTCATGTGAGCTGCCGGCCCCCAGGTTCTACATCAACCTGCACTGTAGGAGTGACATCGCCTTCCAGATCAACTCTTGTTTTGACACAAACTCCGTGGTTCGAAACACCAGGATCAATGGTTGTTGGGGCCCTGAGGAGACCTACATCCCCAGATCAATGCCCTTCTCCAGAGGCCAGGGCTTCATGGTAGGTGCCCCAGCCTGGAGCTCTGAGGGGCTCCGAGGGGCAAGTGAGGCAGGGGGTGGGGGTGTCTGTGGGCCCAGGGAAGTGGGTGGTAGCTGAGGCCTGTGGGGTGAGGGCTGGGTCCAGAAGAATAGAATGTGGTCACAAATATTTGTGGTTATCCTCTTAGAATTACTGTCCCCCATAAAGAGGTGGTGTTATCCGCTGTTTACAGGTAGGAACCAACTCAAGTGCAGGGTCCTCGCCTGGGGTCACACTGCCAATAAATGCAGGATCAAACCCAAGAATGAGGTGTCATTCACTTCTTCACTCACTCCCTCATTCGTTCACACCTCATCAGCTCTGTTGTCAAGTCCCCTTAGTGCAGGGAGTAGTTCCGGTGTTGGGGGAGGGGGAGACAGCCAGGAATCCAGCAGCTGAGGTCCTGCCCCCGAAGTTTACAGTGGAGGTGGGGGGGAATGACGGCAGGTCACCACACGTGCTTCACTGACAGCAAAAGAGCCTGCTGCCATAGAGTGAGGCCTGGGCAGGGGCCACACCCCTGAGATGGGGACAGCTCTCAGAGGCCACAGTGCAGTGGAGACCTCAGGGACAGAAGGAGACGCCCACAAAGATCTGAGGGGTGCATTCCCGGAGATGTGGGAGGGGGCACCTGTTGCTGCAAAAGTGAGGTCACAGGTGTGGACTGTGCAGGAATGGGGAGTCGGGGAGGCTGGAGGCCGGGATCGCACAGCAGGGGTTCCCAACCCCAAGGACAGAATCAAATCACCTCGAGAGCCTGACATGGAAAAATCCAGGCCTGGCCCAGCCTGGGGCCAAGCAGGGAGGAGCCTGGGCATGTGTGTTTTACATAGACCCTGACACTCCTCTCCTGGGTTGAACACGACCCATGTCGGGCCTTGAGGGGCACAGAAAAAAATCTGGACTTTGACAGAGTGAGTTGGTGTGTTTGGACCTGAGAGCAATCTACTTGGACTCAGAGACACTGTGTGACTGTGAGCAAGTGACTTGGCTGCTCTGAGCCTCCGTTTTCCATCAGAAAAATGGGGCTAATAGCCACACTGTTCTCAGAGACCTGAGAATGCACTGACCCTGGGTTGTGACAGGCTCAGCACAGAGCCCGGCCCACAGGAAGTGTGCTGCATGCGCTGGGTGTTGTGGGGGATGATGGGGTTTTCCCAGATGTGCTCTGACCGCCTTGCGGAGACTGTTTGGGGTGAAAAGACAAGTTAGGAGGGGCCACTGCAGGGGTGCCGGCCTGGGGCACTCCTGGGTGCAGGTACCAGGGACGTGGGGGGCACAAGGCAGAGCTCCTGCCCCTGGAGGCTCAGGGTACAGTGGGAGAGTGAGGATGGGGGCAGGGACAGGACCTGAGGGGGCTCCTGACTTGAGTAGCAGGGGTCAGGTGGGGGCAGAAGGCAGGGAAGCCCAGCAGGACAGGGGTGAACCCTGAAGGGGCATCAGCAGGTCCCCATGTGGGTGAGTTGTGTGTGGTTGGTGCCTGGGGGAAGGGCATTCTATGCCAGGGGAAAAAATATGTAAAAAGACAGGAAAGAGAGCATGTGTTTGATGAGTGAATCTGTGTGATGGATGTGAATGTGGGGTATGCTTAATGCATGTTAGAGGAAGGCAGGAAGAGGGGAGGAGACCCAGCTTGCATTTAGGTTTGCCGACTCTCCAAGGGCACCACAAATGACAGGGTCGTCTGTCTGTCCAGGTGGTGATCACGTGTGAGATTACCGGGTACATGGTGGCAGTGAACGGTCAGCACCTGTTTGAGTACAACCACCGCCTGCAGGACCTGCGTGACATCAACGTCCTGGAAGTGGGAGGTGACATCGAACTGACCAGCCTGGAGACATAGGCAGGATTCCTGGCCCTGGGGAGTCAGCTGGAGCACATCACTGTCAGGATCCACTCATCACCTCCACCTTCCCTCTCCTGTTCCTGTCCCTGCCCCAGTCCTTCTCTGCCCACCAAAGATCTGGAGGGACCAGGTCCCTGTGTGGCCCTGCTTCTGTTTGCAGTGACCCTGGGGTGGAGAAGGCAGCTGGCTGGGACTGCCTTCTTCAGCCTGGGCACCACCTGGGGCTCTGGCTGCCCAATCCTAACATCCAAGGAAGGATGTGGTGTGTGCAGGTTGAAGCCCCATGTTCTGTCCCCTGGGCACAAAGGGAGGGTTGTGGGCTTTCCCAAGCTCCCAGCCTACCCCTTGTCTACCTTGGATCCCATTTCCCAGCCTCCATTCAAGTCCTCCTCAGGCTCAAGCCACCAGCTGGTCACTCACAAGGGAAGTGGTCTCCTCAGGTTTCCTCTTTCTCCAACCTTTACCCTTTCCTTGTACCATTACCAACTCTTGCTCCTCTCCAAGAAAGCGAACCTGAATGACACTTTTTAGTCTCCAGCAACAAACAGGACCTTCTTCAGCTAGAAGCCCCCCTTCTCCATTGTCCTTCAAATAAAGTGAGAAAGAAATATCCCTGATGCCCACGGGCAGGGGACGACTGTGGTTCATTAATTGTGTTGGAAACACGTGGGTTTCTAGAATTAAGGAGGTCCTGGCCAAGGAGAGAACCCAGGCCACATGGATGGGGGTGTCCTGACCCATTTCTGCTCTCACTGGGTCCACACAAACCCCACAAGGGTGTGGGAGAAAGCAGCCGGATTCAGGCTCTTTGGGAGGAACATCTGACAGGAAGCTTGGTAACAGAGTTGCAGCCAGGAAGCAGCCCCATGCTTCTGACATGGGCCAAGGGCTGGGCCAGAGGCTGTGAGGGTCAGGGTAGGGCCAGGAAGCCAGAGGGCAGGGCAGGTCATCATTGGGAGAAGGTGGAAGGTGGGGTGAGGAGGAACTCACCCAGAGGAGAGCTTGTTGGTGGTTCCACTGTGGGTCCTCCAGTGTTAGAGGGGAAGAGGTGCTGGGGAAAGTGGCTCAGTGCGTAGGGTCTGCCAGCCCCTGGGCCAGTGCAGGGGGACCCAGGTCTTGTGCACATGATGCCAACCCACCCTGCTACTCCATCAAGAACCCAGGGCCTCAGGAACCAGGGCAGAGGCTCAAAGCAAAGTCCGGGAGCCAGGAGGACCTACCGCCCCTGGGAGCTGGTTTCAAATGGGGAATGTTGGGCCCCACCACACACCTGAATCAGAGTCTGCATTGGAGAGACATCCCAGGCATTTAGCGTGCAAGCTGGCATCCAACAAACACTGGGCTAGGTGACCATTGTGCCAAGCACCGCCAGGACACCGCACATTGGCGTGTCCCCTTTTCCCGCACCACCCCATCTGAGTAAGGGGTCCAGGGAGCCAAGAAAACACAGGCTGAACCCCAGCTGGGGGCCACATTTCACGGAACTCTCACTCTGGCTGAGTGCCTTCCTCGTTCCCACTGGGACAAGGACACATGGCTCAGTCCCTTGAGAAGCCTTCCCCATGGAGGACGTGTGTCCTTCACGCACTACCAAGGCCTTGACTTCACCTGCTTTGTCATCCAGGGGCCCAATCATATTGGCCAAAGTCGCATGAAGGAGCAGGTCCCGAAGCAAAATGCATGGTTTTGTCAGAAGGCCGGTGTCAGGGTCTCTGGAAAAGAGCTGGTGTCCTGTGCAGCATGGCCCCCGTGCCGCTCCCTGTAGGGGAGGTGCCTCCTGTGTGAGGCTGGGCTGAGGCCGGTGCTCCCTCGCCTGTCACGAGTTCCCAGACGTGCACCCCGTGTGCAGCCCTGGTACGCATTTAAAGAAGCTGCAGGGCCAAGCTGGGCCACCACCAGTGCCCAGCTCTACATAACTCAGGGCTGTTTCCTTGTGACACACAGACGTGCACACACAACATGGTGAAAAGAAAATGCATTTCACATAAATATCTCCATCACGGAGTCTTACAGGGAGGGCTTAAATGGCCCTCAGGGGCTGACTAGGCTTTGTGGTTTGTTTTTGTTTTTGTTTTTGTTTTTGTTTTTGTTTTAAATACAAAAGCTTGAAGAACCTTGCCCTGGAAAAGGGCAGGGATACAGACTGAGGGGTGGGACAGCTCCTCCTGGTGGTCCCTCACAGTGGTGCAATCAGAGGAAAAATGCATCCTTCTCACCCACTGGCCAGGCCTGGCATTGCTGGTTTACTCTCCACATACAAAGGACGCCCCAGTATTCCATTATCCGGAAAAGGGTGGGCTCCAAGGAGACAAGCGGTTGCACTCAGTCCAGGCTGCCACTTGATAACAAGTCAAGCAAAGGGGGAGGGAGGTGGACAAATAAGATGTGAGGCTGGAGATATAATTTCCCACCATCTCCCTGTGGCCTCAGAGAATGGAGAATTGGGTCCATCGTGAAATTTGGTGGCAGCAGCTTTAACTTCCGCGGGCTGTTGGGGCTCTGGGATCCCCAGGCTTCCCTGCTGCCCCAGGCTCTTTCACCTTGGAGGGAAATACAGCCCCGAAGATATCTTCATGATAGCACTTCTGGGTCTTCAGGGGAAAACAGAAATCACGTGTCAGCTCTGCTAGTGCAGCCACCTCTCACTCATCGGGTCCAGAGCGCTGGGGTCTCCCAGCTTCCCCACCACACCTACACTGCTGAGCCATCTGCCTTCCCCACGGACATCCTTAGACTGCACTTGACTCTGACTGAGACTGCATAAGCCCCACCACTCTCTGCTCTGCCGTGGACCACCTAAATGTTACTCCAGGCTTTAGGATGCACAGAATAGCCTGCCTAGTGCTTATGCCACAAGATGCTCCATGCTGGTGTCATTCAGCTGTGTGTCCTCCTGTGTTAGGGGTTAGGGTGTGGTGGGGGAAGTGGCTTTCCCATGCCCTGGACCTGTCTCCCTAGCCCACACACCAGCTGTCATACCTCAAGCTGGAAGAAATGATCCTCCATGTGCTCCTCACTCAGGCTCACTTGGCAGCCATCAGGGGTTTCAGTGTGTCACACACATCCCAGCCCCTGTGCATGTCCCCAAAACACAGAGGTGGCCATGTACCTCGTTGGCTGTCTGCTGCTGAAGGATGTCTTGATAATAACCTGAAACCAGAGGAGATGGTGAGTCTTAGTCCCTGCTGCCATGGAAGGAGGGGCCGGGATGGTCAGCAGAGTTTGTAGTGAGGCCTGCTGGCCATGGGGAGGCGGTGAGGGGGCGCCATGGGCTGCAGAGTGAGCACCCTCCCCGCCAGGACTCTGCATAAGGACCAGGCAGAGCTTGAGGAGCTGTCCTGGCATCTTGCCCAGTCCAGGCCTAGGCTGGAGAGAGGAATGCCAGTCACAGGTCTGCCCTCGAGGAGCTGACAGTCCAGTGGTGCTCCTTGAGGTATTCTGGATTCACATGCTTCAAACAGGCATGCTTGAAGCCACTTGCCCTGCCCAGGGCCCTGAGGCCACCCTGCCTACACCCCAGAAAAGGGATTCTCTCAGTGTGGATGGTCTGTGGGACCTACACTGTAATGCAGAGCAGGGCACAGAGCCCAGGCACTCCTGGAAGTCCAGGAATCCAATGGGGCTACCAGTGACCCCAGCCCTGGGCATGGAGCACTGGCTCTGGGAGGAGCTCTGATAGGACCCATCCATACGGGAGGGGCCAAGAGGCTGACCTGACTCCCCAGGGTGCTGGTCAAAGAGCCCTGGGGCAACAGAGCCCAGCAGTGGGCTGGTGGCAGAAGCAGCAGGTGCCCTCCTGCCTTGCTGTGGTGGAGCACAAAGCCAACAGGGACAGCCTCTCCCGGGACAGCTCTCAAGGGCCTTTAGCCCTCAGCAGGCTGGGCCGTGGGGGTTGCTACTATGAACATTCTTCTGCATCCGTCCACTCCAATCATCACCTGAAATGCCACCTGCACACAGCTTCCTAAGGACTGAATTGAATCCCACCTCAGGGAACCACAGTTATCCTGAGCAGGGCAATAGGCAAGGCTTGATCCTGGTGGAGATGAGTTCCCTGGCTCAGCTCGGCTGTGTTTGTCTTCAGGGGTGTTTCCTCTCCTGCACCTTTCAGAAGCCCGAGGTCTCCATGCTGTCTGGAGTCGCCAGTGGGTTCCTAGAAATTCACTAACCTTCTGTGTAATTTCTGAAATGAAAAGTTTCCTTATCGCTCTGGATGCTTCTGGGTAGGCCAAAGTGTGGAATTATTTCCAGCATTAAGCCTTTCACTAGCTTGAGGATTTCCCCATTCTAGTAGGATGGGCTTCTACCCACCCTGAACAGGTGGCACAAACACTAGCAAATAAATCCCCCCTTGGACCCTTGGCCTGTGAGTCAAGTGTATCTGCCAGCCCTCCAGGGGGCGCTGTCCTGGGTGCTGTTTCCCTGGTTTCTTCGGATGGGGATGTGTCTTGGGGGTTGTTTTTTCCACACAACACATCTAGCATTTACTGTTTGTGTTTACTGTTTACTGTTTGCTACTATGAGCATTTTTCTACATCTGTCCACCCCAATGGTCACCTGAAATGCCACCTGCACACAGCTTCCTAAGGACTGAATTGAATCCCACCTGTTGTATGGCTTCAGAATTCCAGGACCTGGGAGCTACTGCTTGATATATGCAGTTGATGAGTCCCTTCCACTGAGAGTGGCCCCAGGCGACTTCATGACTGGCTCTACTAAATGTTCAGGACGTGGTATAACCCCTTTCTCATTCTTTTTCCATCCGCTGTCAGCTTCTTCTTCATCTAAACCCTCACCTCTCAGCTCTCTCCAGGTCTGCAGGAGAATATTCAGGGTTAAGTTGTGACAAGTCCAGGACAGCTACCAAAGCCACTGTCCAGGTCCCTTTGGCAGCCTCTTTTGCTGCTGTGCAGCCAGATTGCGTCCTTCAGCGGCTTCAACATCCTCTTCCTCATGCCCCAGGCAGAGCATCACTGCCACCTGCAAAGGCACCTGAGCAACCTCTAATAATTTTAAAATTTCTGGTGAATGCTTCCCCTACCCTTTGTTTGAAGGTTAACAGTTCTTGTTCCTTCCAGATGGAACCATGTGATTGCAACATCAGGAAAGCTCATGTTGAGTCCATACACCCGTTCACTCTCCTTTCACACAACACTCCCATTGCCCCCGTCAGTGTAATCAGTTAGGTTTTCTGAGCAGAGGCTCCCGGCGGCAGGGCCTTGGCCTCCACTGCTCCATGAAGAGTCACAAGTGCGTACACAGCCTCTCTGTTTCCTTTGTCCATGGAGCTGCTTCCATCTGCACTGAGAGGCCAGTCGGCTTCTCCTGAGGGATGGTCCTGTCAACCAGTTCTGCTGGAATTCACTTCATCAGTTATCTCAGCACAGTCATGTGTCAGCGCAGCCGAGTCAGGCTCCGGGAGCAGAGAGGCAGGGTTTGCCTGACCGTTTTGAGGGAGACGTTGGGGTGTCGAGTAGAAATGCGGGGTCCTGCCCAGTCTCCCAGCAGTGAGGCACCATTCCCTTTCACTCCAGCAGGCTCAGTACTGAGTGGGGGTGTGGACAAGGTGACAGGCTGTCCCAAGGGAAACATTCAGCTTCCTGGAAGAGC